CAATATATAAGGATGTAAGTATATAAAGCAAAAACTAACAGACCTAAAAGAAGAAATACACAGAAATACAATAATGTCTGGGGACTTTAATACCCCACTCTCAACAATGGATAGATCAGTTGGAACAGAGAATCAATAAAGAAAGAGTGGATTTGAACATTACTATCAACCAAAATGACCTAATAGATATATACAGAATATTCTGACAAGAGCAGAATACAAATTCTTCTCCAGTGCATGTGGAACATTTTCTAGGATAGACCAAATGTTAGGCCATAAAACAAGTCTTAGCAAACTCAGGAAATTGAAATCATACCAAGTATCTTCCCTGATCGCAATGGTATGAGACTAGAAATCAATAACAGAAGGAAAACTGGAAAAATCACTAATACATGGAAATTAAACAGCATTCTCCTGTGCAACCAATGGATCAAAGAAGAAATTGTAGGGGAAATAAAATATTATCTTCAGACAAATGAAAATAAAAATACAACATACCAAAACTTATAGGATGCAGCAAAACAATTCTAAAAGGGAAGTTCATAGCAGTAAACACCTACATTGACAAACAAGAAAGACCTCAAATAAACAACCTAATACTATGCCCCAAGGAACTAAAAAAAGAAGAACAAACTGAGCCCAAAGTTAGCAGAAGGAAGGAAATAATAAAGATTAGAGCAGAAATAAATGAAATCAAGAACAGGAAAACAATAAAAAAGATTAACAAAACTAAGAGTTGGTTCTTTGAAAAGATAAACAAAATTGAAAAACGTTTAGCTAGACAATCCAAGGAAAAGAATGAGGGAACACAAACCAACAAAATTATAAATGAAAAAGGAGACATCACAACAGATATCACAGAAATAAAAAGGATTATAAGAGCCTACTATGAATGACTATAGGACAGCCTAGAAGAAATGGAAAAATTCTTAGAAACATACAACTGACCAAGACTGAATTAGGAATAGAGAATCTGAACACATTGATTAATAGGAAGGAGATTGAATCAGTAGTCAAAAGTATCCAACGAATAAAAGCCCAGGACCAGGGGGATTCACTGATGAATTTTACGAAAGACTTAAAGAAGAATTAATATGGCTCTTTCTGAAACTCTTCCAAAAAATCAAATAGGAGGGAACACTCCCAAACTCACTTTATGAGTCCAGCATTATCCTATCATCAATGCCAGAAAAGGACACAATAAGAAAAAAAACTACAGGCCAATATCCTTGATGAATATAAATGTAAAAATTCTGAATAAATACTAGCAAACCAAATTCAGGAACACATTAAAAGGTTAATTCACCGTGATCCAGTGGGATTTATCATTCAGATGCAAGGATAGTCCAACATATGTAAATAAATAAATGTGATACATCACATTAATAGAATGAAAGAAAAAATTATAGAATGATCTCAATAGACGCAGAAAAAGTATTTGACAATATTGAACATACTCTCATGATAAAAACTCTCAACAAATTAGGTATAGAAGGAAGGTACTGAACATAATAAAGGTCATATATGACAAGCTCACAACTAACATCATACTCAATGGTGAATGTTTGAAAGCTTTTCCTCTAAGTTCACATACAAGACAATGGTGCCACCTCTCATCACTCCTATTCAGCACAGTACTGGAAGTCCTCACCAGAGCAACAAGTCAAGAAAAAGAAACAGATGGCATCAGCATTGGAAAGGAAGTAGTAAAATTGGCTCTATTTGCAGATGACATGATTTTATATGTAGAAAATCCTAAAGTCTCCACCTTAAACTGTTATACCCATTCAATGAATTCAGTAAACTTGCATAATAAAAATTAACATACAAGAATCAGTAGTGTTTTTATACACTAACAATGAATTATCTGACAATGAGTTATATGAAAAGAAACTTATTCCATGTACAATAGCATCAAAAATAATAAAATACTTTGGAATAAATTTAACCAAGGAACCCAAAGATCTCTACACTGAAAACCAGAATATATTGATAAAAGAAATCAAAAAGACACAAAAAAATGGAAAAGCATCCCATCTTCATGGATTAGAAGAACTGATACTGTCAAAATGTCCATACTACCCAAAGCCAATTATAGATTCAATGCAATCCCTGTCAAGGTTCCAAAGGCATTTCTTACAGAAGTAGAAGGAAAACAATCCTAAAATTCACATGGAACCACAAAAGATTCTGAATAGCCAAAGTAATCCTGAGAAAGAATAACAAAGCAAGAGGCATCTTACTTCCTTATTTCAAGCTGTATTATAAAGTTACTGTAATCAAAACAGTATGGTACAGGCATAAAAACAGACACACAGGCCAACGGAATGGAATCAAGAGCCCAGAAATAAGCCCAAGCATATACAGTTAACTAATATTTGACAAGGGAGCCAACAATACTCAATGGAGAAAAGGCAGTATCTTCAATAAATGGTGCTGGGAAAAGTGGATATTCACATGTAAAGGAATGAAACTAGAGCCCTAACTTACAGCACTCACAAAAATTAACTCAAAATGGATGAAAGACTTAAATGTAGGACTGGAAACAATAAAACTCCTAGAAGAGAACATAAAAGAAATCTCCTTGACATGGGTCTCGGCAAAGAATGTTTGAATCTGAAACCCAAAGCACAAGCAACAAAATCAAAAATAATCAAGTGGAACTACACCAAACTAAAAAGTTTCTGCACAGCAAAAGAAATGATCAACAAAATGAAAAGACAGCCTATGGCATGGGAAAAATATTTGCACACCATATACCTGATAACGGGTTAGCATCCAAAATACAGAAAGAACTCATACAACTCAGTAGCAAAAAAACAAACAATCCAATTTAAAAATGGGTAAAGGACCTGAATAAACATTTATCCAAAGAATACAGATGGCCAACAGGCACATGAAAAGGTGCTCAACATCACTAATCACAAGGAAATGCAAATCAAAACCACAATGAGATATCACCTCACACCTGTTAGAATGGCCATCATCAAAAAAACAAGAGATACCAAATGCTGATGAGGACGTGGAGAAAAGGGAACCCTTGTGCACTGTTGGTATGATTGTTAATTGATACAGTCACTATGGACAACAGTATGGAGGTTTCTCAAAAATTAAAAATAGAACTACTATAAGATCCAGCAATTCTACTTCTGGAAATACATCTGAAGGAAATGAAAATACTATGTTTAGAGAGATCTGCACCTCCATGTTCATAGCAGCTTTATTCACAATACCCAAGACATGGAAATAACCTAACAAACAGGTCAGACAGAGAAAAACAAACATTATGTGTGTAATCTCACTGTACATGTGATCTAAAAACAAAAAAACTCATAGAAAAACAGATCAGAGTTGTGGTTAGCAAAGATGGGGAGCCTGGAGGCAGGGGATGTAATTGGATGAAGGTGGTCAAAAGGCACAAGCTTCCAGTTATAAGATAAATAAGAACTAGGGATGTAACGTGCACATGGTGACTCTGGTTACATTGCCATATGTTGTATTTGAAAGTTGGTAAGAGAGTAGATCCTAAGCGTTCTCATCACCAAGTAAAAAACATTTTTTCTTTTCTTTCTTTTTGTATCTGGATGAGATGATGGATGTTAATTAAATTTATTGTAGTAATCAATTCACAATATATGTAAGTCAAATTATTATGCTGCTCATCTCTAATCTTATACAGTGCTGTATGTCAATTATATCTCAATAAAACTGGAGAAAAAAATGTAAAGCTTTTAAACCTTGAAAACTTTGTATATAATACTAAAAGTTAATTAAATATAAAAACATCCCTTCTCATAAAAATAATTGCTAAAGTTATCAAATTTTCAAAATATTTTAATTATATTTTAAAATACTTTCTGACTTAGAAAAAAAGTTGCAATAATTATACAAAGCATTCCTGTATACTTTTAATCCACATCCACCTAATATTAATATTTTGCCATATTTTCTTTGTAATTTATTCTCTCGATAGGTAAATAGATAGACAAAATTTTTTCTGAAATGCTTGAAATTTGCCTACATAATGCCTATTAACCTCTAGATATTTCAGTAATTCCTAAATTCAAAGACACTTTCTGACATAAACACAGCACAATTGTCAAATAGAGGAAATAAACTTTGATACAACTGAATTATCTCATCTACAGAGCTTTTGCCAACTAATGACCTTCATCTAGTACAGGATCCAACCAGGGATCACAGGTTACATTTACCTATCATCTATCTTTAATCTGGAAAAATTCTTCAATCATTCTTTGTCTTGATAACTTTGAAGGCACCAATAATTTTGCAGAATTTCTTCAAATGAGGTTGCCTGGTGTTTTTTCAGGATTAGACACAAGTTATGTGTTTTTGGTAGGAAACCCACAGTAATGATATTGTGTGCCTCTCCAGTCTCAATACTGATGATGTTGCATTTGAGTAATTGTTTAATGGAGTGTCTTCCAGATTTCTCTATCATAAAGTTACACTTTTCCTCTTGCAATTAATAATTATCTTGTAAAGAGATAGTTTGAGACTATGTAAATTCTTACTCTCTCCAAGAAAATGTTTAATGACCATGTTCATTCCATCAAGAGCATTTTCATTGGGAAAGCAAACTGTTACAACGCTTCTGAGAATCAATTTAACACTATTCATCGAAAGTTGTTATGCTTTTTAACACAGTAAATTTACTATAGCAAGTGAGCTTTAAACAAAAATCAAAAATACAGTTAAATATTTCTGTTCACAAACATTTCTATTCACAAATTTCTATTCACAGATACTGTTATTCATAGTAGTAAAAAATTGAAAAGGATCTAAACATCTAACAGAAAAATGGCTAAGTAATAGTACATCCATAAGAAAAAATATTTTACAACTGATTACAATGAAGTTGTTGAAGATGGGAACCAGTTAGAATGACTCTAGACCTAATAAATCCTTTATCTCATTGTACCTTCCAGTTTGGACTCAGCATCATTCTAAACCCAAGGATCAATTTCAAGACTCAGGCTCTATTTCTCTTCTAGTTTCATTGTCCTGATCCACAGCCTCTTCATGGCTCTCTTCATTTCTGCATTTCTCAGGGAGTAGATGACAGGGTTCAGGAGCGGGGTGATCACTGTGTAGAACACGGCCACCATCTTGTCCACAGTCAGGGTGGTGGAAGGCCTCAGGTAGATGAAGGTGCAGGGCCCAAAGAACAAGACAACCACGGTGATGTGAGAAGCACAGCTGGAGAGGGCTTTGCGCCGCCCCTCTGCAGAATGGTTCCTCAAATTGATCAGGATGATGATATAGGAGGACACCAGGAGGAGGAAGGAGAAGATAGAGAATAATCCACTGTTGACAAACACAATTATCCCCTCCACAGTAGTGTCAGTGCAGGCAAGCTTGAATAAGGGATGGAGGTCACAGAAGTAGTGGTCAATCACATTGGGACCACAAAAGGGCAATTGAAGAGTGACAATGATCTGAACCATGGAGTGAAAAAAGCCCCCAAGCCAGGAGCCAGCCACCAGAAGGTGACATGCAGTCCGGCTCATGATAGTTGTGTAGTGAAGGGGTTTGCAGATGGCCACATAGCGGTCATAGGCCATTACCGTGAGCAGGAAGATCTCAGTCACACCAAAGAAGTGGAAGAAGAATATCTGAGCCACACAGCCCTCCAGGGAGATGGTTTTAATCTTGGCAAGTAAGTCTGAGATGAATTTAGGGACAATAGTAGAGGAGTAGCTGATCTCCACCAGGGACAGGTAGCTAAGGAAGAAGTACATGGGAGAATGCAGACTCTTACTGACACTGACCGTCACAACAATGAGGCCATTGCCCATCACTGTGGTCAGGTACACAGCAAGAAACACCACAAAGCACACTCTCTGCACTTCTGGATCCTGGAAAGACCAGTGATAATTAACTCAGTCACATTATTTGTACTCGCCATAGAATCCATTTAGATGTGCTGGTCATGAGCTACTGAGGGGCCTGCAATAAAACAAACAATGATTGTAACCAATTCACCTCATTTATAGCACATTAGACAGTGTAAATCACTTTACAATAAAAACTTATCACAAACTCATTTGTTTAGCCAATATGTCCTCCCTCAGCATTCAATATTAACAATCTAACCAGAGTTTATACGATAGAAAAGAAAGGCTCAGAGAAATTGTTATTTACCCAGGATCTCACAGAAACTGGTGGGTTCTTGGACTCAGAATCAGGCTTTCTGACTTCAGTCCAGGGTTCTTTGTAATTAACCACCAGATATTCTGAATTTGGGATCCTTTCAAGTTCATAGTGATATTTTTATTATCTCATTGCACTTGCAATGATCTCTTCTATCGGGGAATCCCCTTGACAAAGTTCTGCTCCTAATTTCCTTCTTTCCTTCATCTCTGCCGCAGGGAACCATCTTCCCATTGATTATTCTTCCCTTTCCAAAAGGTCCTCTGTACTGTTTCTTCACTCAGTCATACTAGTCTTCGATTTACTCGGGTCAGATTCCTTCACCAGTGTTGCAGCTTCAATAACTATGTTTATATGACAAATGCTCAAACACTCTGGAGAGAATTCAACTTACTAGTTTGTCTCAATCATTTCACCACTACATTTACACCTCTTGGCACACAGCTCAAACTACTGCGAGATCCTGAATCACAGAGATTGTCCTCTACAGCATTGTTATGGCTGGTTAGCCTGCTCACTCTTGCTCCAGGTTGGTAGCCAGCAGAAAAGTATATGATGACAAGAGTGAAAAATTCTCTATAAGTTAATTCGCTGGAACAGATATTTACTGAGCACCTCTTATAGATCTACACAGACTCTCAACTATACAGAAGACATATTGATCATGATACACACTCAAGCTAACAATGTCATGTGATTCAAAACAATATTCTCAGGATTAAGGTGCCATATTAGGAAATTTTTTCAACACATATGATCCACGAGAGATAAGAAAAAAGTAATATGAACATTTTGATTCTCTGCTATAAATTTTATTCTCATTGCTTTTCCTTTTATCTGTGATTTCATACTGAAATGTTCAAGAAATATAATTTTGAAGAAGTAAAAATACACCCAAACAGCAAGGACCAGAATCAACAGAAAAAACAAAAGTCAGTGATGTGAACAGATAGAAACAAAGCAGTGTGTCAGAATTCCTCAGGTAGGACACATGAAGATGTTTGAAATTTCTTAAGAGGGCTGATCGCAGGTGTTCTCACCAAAAACCATAATAATAATTCTACAAGGAGATGAATATGTTAATTAGTTTAACTGTAGTAATCAATTCATTATATATGTATATGAATTATATATGTATATGTATATGAAAACATTGAGTTGTAAATATTAAATATATATAATTTTTATTAAAGAAAAAATTTTTAAGATTAAATAAAGTCACTGAACCTAAAAAAATTGAGAAACTGATATTGTAGAGCAAGAAAAAAATAGTAGAGAAAGCAACAATGGCATCTCAGAGATGCAGAGAATATCCTCAATCCTTGACTCTTCAATCCCTGATGCAATCCCTTGTGTACTTGGGTACCAGAGAAAGCCCTTTATTCCTCAAATCACTTCTCCTCTTTGCTTAAGCTAGTTTGATGCATTTCTGTTCCTTGCAAGCAAAACCCCATAAGATATAAACCTAGGAAAAAATAAATAAATAAAACTGAAAATCACTAGCAACAATAAGAAAGTTCAAAATACAATTACTAGTTAGAAAATCCAAGTGAAAAATATCCCCTTTACAATAACCAAGAAGTTTTTTAAATAAAAAGCACTTAAAAATGTGATACAGTTATGCAGAGAAAAACCATAAAACTAGGTGAATATAAGAAAATACATGTATAAAAGGGAAAACATACTTATATCCACCAAAAAAACTCTTACAAAAACATGTTTAAGTGATAAAATTCAACATAATGAAGATTTCAACTCTCCCTCAATTTATCTACAGATTTATACAACCTCGATCAAAATTCAGTGGAATTTTTCTTTGTAATTTATATAATTGCTCTAAAGTTCATCAGCAGAAACAAAAAGGCAGGGGAGGGAATAAACACTCCACAGAAACAATAGGAAACTGCCCAACCAAGTGCTAAAGTTTCCAGGAAGGTGAGTGCAGCAGAGAAATTACATTGATACCCATGATGAACTCAAGCAATATTGCTAAATTCATCACAGTGTGGTGCCCTATCCTATGGGAGCAGTGTTGTGAGCACCAGGCACCCAGAATCATTAGGAATGCCTGGCACCATCTCAGCACCTTGGAAAGTCAAGCAGCCGAATGGTTAGAAGATAAGATTATGAGACGCCTCAAGAATCTCCTTCATCCACATTTGTACTCATGAGCCCAAGGAGAGGATTTAGACAGAGATTAGGGTGGAAGCAGATGAGACTAAGATATCGAGTAACAAGAGACATACAGGCAGGTGTGACCTGGCAGATACTTTGATGCCACCATCACCGTCTAAGCTGCCCAGGCTGTAGCTTGGATGTCATATATGACCTATGTCCCCTTTCATTCCCATACCCATCACGTCCCATCAATTTTATCCTTGAAGCATCTCTCCTGGGTCCTTTCTCTCCATTCTTGGTGCCAATACCCTCTCACACACTGTCAGCTGATGTCTAAAATACCAAAGCACCTTAGTCTCCAGATGCTCCCACCCCTCCATCCTGCACCTGCTGCCAGAAAATTGTTTCCTGACTCTTCTTGCCTCAGATCCTCCACTGCATGGGAGTAAGTGGGGAAAAACCTGAACTCCTCTGACGCACTTTTAAAAGCCTTCCCAGACTGAGCAGCCTCAACAATGACCCTCTTAGGCACTAAACCTCACCTCACCTCACCTCTGTTCAACTCAGGGTCCTCTCCCCATTCCACAAGCCCACCCTACTCATTCCCACCACAGAGCTTCCCTTCACCGGAAATGCCTTCTCCTGTCCTTTCCAACCCCACCCTCCTTCCAAGCCCAATTCCGGTCTTGTGTGTTCAATGAAGCTTGTCTTTAGTACTCTAACCCATGTGTCTTCTCTTCCCTGAGCATTGAAAATACTTGGTGATTTTCCTTAAATACATATTAAATCGTGTACTACCATACCTCAAATCTATCGACACCTCCCCATGGCACACAGCATAAATTATAATGTCCTTAGCAAGGATTCTAGGTCCTTTTTGAACTGGCCGTTGCCTATCTTGGCACCCTTATAGTCATTCCCTAAATGAGCGTAATACAGCTATTTCCTAAGCCAAGGTGTCCTTTCTCCCTTTTCTGTGTTTAGTATTCCTTCCTTCTAGCTTGCATGAAGAACCTCACTACCATAGGAACAGAGTATTCTCTCCTTTGTGCTCCCATGGTGCTTTATCATACTTCTTTTACAGCAATTAACAGATTCTTCCTATAACTAATAAATATACGACCCTAGTATTCAAAACCATCTGTTAAATATTTTTCTTAAACCTTTATTATTAATTTTATTTTCATTGATAATAACAGATATTGTTTCAATAGTACCATGTGCCACATAATTTATAAGTGTTCTATATACATTAATTGATTCAATTCTCAGAACAAACCTGTAATGTGGGTATTATTATTATCAATCTTTTTTTTACATATGAGGGGAAAAACCACAGATAAATGAATTAACTGGCCTAAGGTTACACAGCAATGGAGTCAGGATTTCAATCCAGGCAGCCTAACCACAGATTTTATGCTCTCTAACCACTGCCCTATACAATTTCTATGTATATAACACATAAGTGAAGAGTTAAAATTAAATATGCCCGGGCCGGCCCCATGGCGCAAGCAGTTAAGTGCGTGCTCTCAGATGCGGCGGCCGGGGTTTGCCTGTTGGGATCGCGGGCACTCACCAACGCACTGCTTGGCACGCCATGCTGTGGCAGCGTTCCATATACAGTGGAGGAAGATGGGCACGGATGTTAGCCCAGGGCCAGTCTTCCTCAGCCAAAAAGAAAAAAAAGAGGAGGATTGGCAGATGTTAGCATAGGGCTGATCGCCTCACACACACACACACAAAAATTAAATATGCCCTTTGATTAGAAGCCCAAGGTATATCTATTCACAAACAGAAACAAATATTTCTCATATGAGTATGAACTCAATCATCTTTGATCCATTAGAGAAGCTAAGGAAATATGCTAGGACCAGTCTGAGAGATAGCTAGGAGATTAGAGAGGAATCGTGAAGGGTCCAGTTTTTCCAGCCTTCATCCTTAAGAGAAGGAATATCTGATAGCCTCCTCTTTGAAAACTACCTTTTCCTTTTCTATAATTTCTTTCTTTTCTGTATTTACTCCCCACTCTGCTACCCCACCTCTCACCCATTCCCACCATCTCTCTCCCTAAACTGGCAAGAAATACCTGCTCTCTCCCCACAATGCAGCCTCACCAAGAATCATGGAAAGAAAATGTGACCAGCATGTAAAAGTGTACATCAGCATTTGAGCACATAGACTGCCCATCAGGTAACCTGACGGACTCTGGACCAGAGCATAATGATAGATGCAGGCAATGGCCAGAGAAAATATAAGAGAGAGCCTGACGTGCTGATGTGACTAAATTCAGAATGAAGTAATGGAACCTCCATCTCAATCACACGCTCCCACTTTATAACTCCCAAATATCTCTCAAAATCCCAAAATTGTAAAGGACTTTAAATTCATCAAATTTTATGTTTTGTATAATTTTATCACAATAAAAATAAATAAATAAATTGAATTAATTAATCAAAAAAAGAAATTTCCAGCTCATTTTACAAATGAACACACGTGGCTCAAAGACAAGAACTGACTTGCCCAACATTCTATGGCTGCTTAGAGACTTTGCACCCTCCTTCCAGCCATATCACCTACCTTTAGGTCAGAAAATCAGGTGCAGTTTTGTTCTGACTTAGAACAAGGAATTGGATCAGA